TTGGAATCCGCAGAATTTACGTTCCAATAATATCAATCCCTATTATTATAATGTATTCGCCCAAATCTCCCACAGTCCCCTTCAAAATCTTGCAGTTTCGCCAGAATCGGCGAAACTGGACTACACAGCCAAATTACATGGATTAAAATCGCGTCAATCGCGGCAATCGAAACGATACCGATCAAAAATGTAGGGAAGGCTTGTCGGAAGATTTTGAAAATTAATTTTCGCCGTTCAACGCACCCTTCCCAGAGGTGTGCGTGCGTGCGTCGGCAAAGGTCCCGCTGGTCCCGCCTCGCAACTCGCTCGAACTTTTCGGCGTGGATATGTCGGATGTTGACGGATTTAATTTGGTATTTTTCTTAAACCAAGGACTATTTTTAACATTTATATCTATGTCCCTCCGAAGGTTAATTGAAAACAACACGTAACTTGGCAATATTGTTTCCCTGTTCGTAATAGAATTGACGCGGAAGAAGTTCGTGGACGAAAGGTAGGCTAGATTTATTTCGATTACACTGACTGACCTTAACGTTACTGACTTTAAATTTATATCTCGATGTACCAGCGAAATTTGTGCTGCCAAATTTGCCCCTCAACATGCAAAACATGGGTTGAAATTCAAAATTTTTTCGGGGGGAACATGCCCCCCCCCCCAAAAAAAAGCCGGGCCTACTAGGGCTCTAGTGGCGCCTGTGGCGTGATGGCTCGCGCCTTCGGCGCTTAATGCGGGGAAAATTTTCAATCAAAACCTCGTCCTCCCCATACGAAAGTTCACTCTCTGTGATTCACGCCGGGGGGAGGGCATAGGAAATTTTTTTGAGCCGGGGGGAGGGCATAGGAAATTTTTTTGAGCCGGGGGGAGGGCCTAGGAAATTTTTTTTTACCTGGGGGGAGGGCCTAGGAAATTTTTTTTTTACGCTACTCCCGGCGAAGTTTATAGCGAGGTCACTGCCCTCTTGGTAGGGGTAATAAAACTGAGCTAAGTGCTAGCAAAATTTGCCCTTCAAAATGCAGGAAATAACGTTTCAGAGGGTCTAGATTTCAAAATTTTCCCGGGGGAGCATGCCCCCGGACCCCCCTAGATAACGTCGCGCCTTCGGCGCGACGCCTCGCGCCTTCGGCGCTCGCAAAGATAGTGTACATGGCAGAAAATCTCGCCCCCCCAGTCAAAATTTCGTGCCGCCGCCTCTGAGATGGAGACATCGCAACAACATTCACGAATAGTCAGGAATGGGTACAGTACAACACATTTTCAGCAAAAAAGATATTATTGGTGATTTTCCCCGACAATTTTGAACAGCTAGTTCCTGATCGTCGGAAAAGACATTGAAGTATTGATATTGATTCAAAATTGTAGGTAAATCATTACATGAAAGGTGAAATGAAAGGATTTCAATCTGCTGTCAACTAGAAGCATTGTCAAAAAAATCTCAAAATGGCAAACATATGGTCAACACAAATTTGATGCCAGCTTTTAGATTTCCCTGTTACGCAGCATACATGTCTCCACAATGCATTAACTTAAAGATATTTGAAACAACAACTTTTGAAACAGCAAGATGTCATAGAATATCCTCAATAAATATTGTTTTCAAGGCATACATGTCTCCACAATGCATCAAGATATTTGAAACAACAACTTTTGAAATAGCATAATGTCATAGAGATAGAATATCCTCAACAAAGATTGTTTTCAAACAAGAAATACTGGATTAGATCTAGGTGTTAGTAAACAGTGACTAGAAGCCACAGGTGCCAGTTCAGATCCAGTTTCACCCTTTTAATCTCAGACAACAACCTCTAAGCCATTTCCCCTTTATACCAAAATGTCAAACTCTTCAGTTGGTATCATAAAAGGGAGTTTGATGCATTATACAATGACCCTTTTAAACTGCATTAAGGGGATTGGCAAAACGAATACAGGAGAAACATTATACTTTATAAATAACCTAGAGGTTTTATCTTTAGACAACAGTATCTTAGGATAATCTCAAACAGTTTTTAGTGACTTTTATTCAGTCAATAAGGGTTTGAAACACATACAACTTATCATATGTCATCAAAACAGAAAAAGACAAAATCTCGAGGCAGACTTTAGTTGAGAAATATTTGAGTGAGGCACCAACAAGCCCCTGGTTAGAACCTAAAGTCCTAACATATATACAAAAGTCATTGCTACCTGTAGAATCTAATGGAGATTGACAGAAGAAGATTAACAATGAGGCAGAGTTAGTACAGAGAAGTAGGCAACAATATATTTAGGAGAGGAAATGCCAACATGTTGTTGGCCGGTGTTACAGAGATGTGCAAGGTGCGACAGTTAGAAGTTGAGGCAGAGAAGTTGACCACACCTGTGAGTCACCTGTCCACCACCAGCACCCACCTGTCAATCAAACCACCTGCACACCTGCAGGCCTCACCAGTATCACAGCTTAGGCCACACCAATTTGATTTGTTGGTTCTCAGATTTTTTTTAAATATGGTTAACTGGAAAAACCTAATGATAAGCAAAGTCTGAGGACCTGGTTGATGCCTTGTTGGACTTATGTAGTAAATACAGTGTCATATTCAAGTTTTCTTCCTAGCCCTCTAATTTTATGATGCCCGCTTGCTATCTTTTCAACTAAAATGTCTGAGAACCAACGAAATGGTGTGGCCTTAGTAATACTTTTTCTTTCTTAAAAGAACACAAAAAAGCAGGCCAAATGGTTCCACACCTTCCACCACCTTCCTGTCTACCATATAGATATAGACACAACATTGTCATCTTAGAAACAAAATAAAGTTGTTGTTTTTTTAAATCAAAGACTACATGAATTCAAACAAACATTTCTAAACAAAGTGTTAGATATTACAACACTGTGGTGTTATGTCTATAACAGGAATACAAACAGGACATACGTAACGATTCTCTCTAAACATGTTAACATAAACATTGTGTTAATCATGAAAACGATTTTCACATAAGTCAAGAACTAGACTGTGTGTTACTCACTCTGACTGCCCAGGCTGGTCGGTGTAAGTGCCGGGGGGACACTTGGTGCACTCTGATGTGTACGCAACACCTGATAAAGGACCAGAACATTTTGTTATGTCTTTGCTATCTTGTTTTTGCAAAACAGAAGAAAATGTCTGGCATTTTGGTCAAGAAAAGAACAATATTAGAGCAAATATTGCTACTTTTACAGAGCTGTGTAATTCATTATTAACTTTCATACGTCATTAGTGAGGAATTATCAAGCCTTTCTTACAAGATTACTTATTATATATTCACTGACAGTCACAGTGAAAATATATGGAAGAAAACAAGCAACCAAAATTTCATTACAACCAAACAAGCAAATGTGAACTTAATTTAACAAGGTTATGTTAAATCATACGTCCATGGACATATACTCGGTTGAAAAGATAAAGACAGCAAAACCAAAAGTAAGATTTAAAAAAATTGTGTCCCAAAAAGTTTTGGAAGAGCCTAAGATAGTTCACCTATGAGAGCTCCTGGGTGCCAGGGGAGGAATAAGACAGAGTGTGAGATCTCACAGCTGGGTAAAGTCATAACACTCAATTCAACATTCAGAACATCAAATACCATTACGCCACAACAATTTAAGTTGTTGGTTCTCAGATTGCCCGCTTCATTCATTTCTCAATGCCAAAAATACTGTGAATATACCTGTACCATTCAAGTTCTCATATATACAACGTAGCTTCTCATGTATAGATACAACAAATACTGACAATAGGTAGTGTCTGTAGTTGGATTCAATTTGCAAGATCATAATACATCAAAAAGCAGACAACCAGACAGCCTTTACCTTTTGTAACAGGTAATTATGCTTTGTGTACCTACAGTGTACTATTACACTATGCAGTTCCCTACATGCTGTTTAAGCCAATAAGCTAAAAATGTAAATATAAAGCTGAAGCTTTGCTTTGTGTAGCCAGGTAACCACTTGAAACGCTTTTAACTTGGGACTGGATATTAAATAAACCCTATTTGCTGACGATTTCCAGAAACTCCATTATGATATTATTGTGATATTTCACATACCAGATACAAGTCATGAATGAGAAGTATAAGTGAGAGGTCCATACCTTCAATGGTTATTTTCTTGATGAAAACTGGCTTTGGCTTCCTTTCGTTCCCAAACGACAGACCAGTGGTTTTCCAGTAGATGACGTTGTTACCTGAGGTCAGGTCAATCTGCCAGGGAACAGACAGAGGTTTGATAAATTAAACTTCAAGGCTGTCAGCTGGTGAGTGAGTGAATTTATGAAGCAAGGAATGAAGAAATAAAGAAAAGAACTGACTAAGTTTCAACTTTATCATGAAGAAACTTCTCAATCACAGAGACAAGTAAAAGATTGAAAGTTCAACTTCACATTCACAATGATACTTCTTTTTACACACAAGAAAATCATAATTACCCTTTACATCTGTGAACACAATACTCTCTTTCCAACAGTTTTGCTAAGACAAATTAGAACCCAATAATTTGCATTTAAGTTATCAGGATCTTCATTATGGGTTCACCACACCACTTCGAAACCATATTGCTTTTTCTGATGTTTCTTCTCCTTCTTCTCCTCCTCCTTCTCCTGCCATTTTTTAAATGGATTCAGCTTCTTCATTTTAGGGCCCAAGGTCCTGAAATTTGGTATGGAGGTACAGTGGGCAAATACCCCTAGGCGTTTTTTAAATTATTGTGATACAGGCTTTTAGAATGGTTTTATTTGAGTTTTTTGGCTGTGTTATAGCAAATGTATTACTGTGTTAGTCTGCCTTGTTTACCACGTTTGGGCATGAGTCATCACAATGGAATGCAGGGCATCAACCAATAGGCATGCAGCTTTCCTCTATACTTCTTGCTGATTGGCTGTTGGGATTTAACTTGATTAACACCTGCACAGAAGCATTTCCATACTGACAGTATGTCTGTATTCAAGTGTTTTGGTAGGTATTTCAAGCTTTCCTGCTCCAGCATTGGAATGCCGGGCATGGACGTTTTTTTTTATTTTGAAAATCAACAGTTTGCAGTATGCAATTAAAAATCCTAACCAATAAAGTAGGGAATAGCTATCCAACTGTTGTTTTAGTTGTATTTTACTTCATATTATAGTTATATCAATGTAAATCATTGTTTTCCCTTGTGTTTCCCATTCTTTCCCTGCCATGTCGTAAAATGTGGTGAACCCATCGCTGTATTTGCTCCAAAGCAAATATTGGCCTTTCTAGTCTTATACTGTAATATATAACCAGTCAAGTTTCTCACTGATTCCTCGTTCCATTTCCCCTCCTCGGTGGTGTCAGGCCACTTGTTGGTGTCAGAGTCCATCACAGTTTGGCACTGCTCATTCTGGACCTAAAGAAAGCAATGAAGGAAGGGAGTTTGTAAGCTTACCAATTTTCTATAAACCAACAGCATCAGCAACTGTTACGGTCAACAACTAATTGTACAATGACACCTGGGTATGATATACATGTAGATACCATAGGTGCAATATCAGCTGTCTGTTGCCATTCAAACCTTACTGGCCATGGAAACGTGTGGAGTCTTTTTTCTGACACATGTACCTCAGAGACTTTAAAAGTTTAATGAAACTTACATAGACGTGGAAGATGGTGTTGTCATCAATGTACTGGTATGTGAAGGTGACTTTCCCTGCCTTCTTCAAGTTGGCAGCGTACACCAGCGTTGTGGTGCAGTCTCCGCTCCCTGACGCGATAAAGTCACCCTTAGGCTCCCAGGTTACTCTGGAATACACAAAATAAAGTCAGCATTAAGGCTACAAATTACAGGGTTAATATTTGCCTGCAAGTGTAGAATAGTCTTTTCTTAGACTATGAGAATGCTTACTAGTAGTTGATATACAAGTACCTTTTTTAAATGATTGTAATAGTAATGACATGCAGATACCAAGAAGAAATAAATAACACACTGTGTAACAATTATGGTAAACATGAATTAAGGATATTAAAAATCACAAGCTCTAGTCAATCTTTAGACAAAAGACATTGAAAGAACTTTGAGACATCAAGATAAAGAATACTTAGCTTCCTTCAACATCCTGGTCTTATTACTTTGACATGATATAATGTCAACAGTCAAATGCATTGTTGATATTGCACCATAAAGATTTATTAAATTCCTAGATTCTCACTGATTTAGAGTTCACTTGACCTGAGTCTAAAACAGAAAGTATCTTACTCTGAACAGTTTGTTTTACTGGAGTAGCTGTAGTCCCCAATCTCAGCCGTGGTGGTGAACCCCCCTGGGAGGGCCTCCCAGTGGTCGAACAGGACCCCCCCTCCCAGGGAGTAGGTACCAGGGGGGCAGCGCTGACATGTCTGCTGGTCGATGCTGAAAAACTCACCAGCTCCGCAGGAGAACGCTGTGGAATGTTTGAAAAATTTTGGTCATAAGTAACAAAAAAGAAAGCTTACAGGTTAGATTGGAACATTCAGGTGCTTCAAACTGCTTGAACTTTACAAAATATACTGACGACAGTTGTATACAAAACAGAGCAGTACCCACAGTGCTTCAATCTAAACAGCAACAATCTTACAGTGAATACTTTGAAATATCTTCAGGAGGCAAAACCACAAGGAACAGCTATAATACTAGTGTTATACTCTCAGTCCTTTATCCTTAAAAATCCCATGTTGATAATCTTTTATGGTAAAGAACATTCATATGAACCCAAACAACATATCACGTCCGGTGGTAAATGCTTATTTAATGAGTTGGAGACTTACAACACTCCTTGCCCCGTTTGGGTGCGTCTGCAGGAGGGGGTCCTGTACATGTGTTGCCTACGTTAGGCACCAGCACTCTCCACCTGCCTCCACCGCTGTCACACTCTGTGTACTCATAGTGGAAGTCATCCTACACAACACAAACAATGGGCATTAGTGCAAAGGCCATAACTTACATATTACAATAATTTTTGTTGTCTTCAATGCTCCATTCCCATACAAGTCACAACTACTTTAGGAATGAAAATGACATAAGTAACAAGACCACCTGTTATAAATACAGTTATAGTTATGTCTTCAACAGTCTTGTGTCAAAATTCCTCACTAGTTTTAGGTCTATATAAGGAAAATTCCAGTGGCTTGTTGACTATACAGTACTAAATCTATCAGTGTGACCTATATGAATAGTATGACTAGTATGAAAGATTATGAAAGAATGATTCCTATAATCATGGCTGAAATAAAAAGGGTGCTCGATCACAGTGCTACTTGTGTAAGTTAAGGCTTGCTGAACCCTTCAAGAGCCATGGCCTCAAAAGCGCTGTGTCTAATATTAGTAATACATGTATTGTCTATCCATTTCTGTGTTAACTGTTCTTCAACACAACTTCTGGTGTTTACTATAAACTAAATTTATGATTTTATAACTTAAACCTAGTCACGCTCTAGGTTTGAGTCATAAAATCATAAATTTTGTACGACCAATTTAGTTTTCAGTTTAACGCGTATGACAACATGACGGTATTCAGATGAACCTTGTCTAATTTGTGTCACAAGACATAGAGAGTCTAATTACTCAGAGACTGGTCCGACCAGTTCAGACCCACAGCTCTGCTCACAGCCTGAGGCAGATTTCACCAGCAGTGTTTAGTGTGTAGAGGCTGATTCTAGTCAAGATTGACACGTGGACAGCTACAACTAATTTGTTGAAACTTAAATTTATCATCATATAAAGTGATTATTATTATGACCAACAAGTCCAATCAAGGAAACCTTGTTCCAATACCAAACAAATTATGTGTGTCTTGAAACTCACTAAAGCAAAACCTGTGTCTGCAGATCTGCACTGAAACTTTCATCTTCACAAATCTATTTCCTTAAGAGCTAAAAGCAAATCATAACCTTTCTTTCTCATTTTTACTTGAAGAGACCATGGAGAGACTGAAGTAGAGTTCTGTAATATGGATTATAATATTCGAGCTTTGAAAATACATTCTATGCACGGTTTGATTAGAGGCCTTGCATTTAAAACATATATTAGGTATACCATTTGGAAGAACACACTTTCCTAGAACCACTTCCCTATAGTATGGAATATTTGCTTAGGTTTGTAATTTTCTGTTGGCAGATATACAAAAATGCACTTGCCTTTGAACAACCCTTATTAGTATCTTTCTATATTCGAAATGACCGTGTTCTGTTGAGGTACAAGCCTTTAAATTAATGATTTTCGTGCGTCGACTTGAAAAAGAACAATCATCATGTATATACATAACAGAAATTTGACAAAACAAATCTGCGAAACGATCACGGTGTGTTTACAGTGGCACACAGCTGTGCTATACGGAGTCATGTCACGCCATGCACCAGCGCGCATTATCAGGTCTACTCACGGCTGTACATGTAGGGCTGCCTGCTGGCGGCGGCTGGGTAGCTACGGGCTGAGGTGGCTGTGGGGCGGGCGTAGTCTCCGTACCGCCCTGTCCGTGAACCGCAGGTCCTGCCGACAACATCAGCACCAGTACAACCACCTGGCACGGAATCATGTTGGCTTCTTCTTCCGCGAATTCCGTCTGCTCCCGACGCGCGATGAGACTGGAAAAACTAGCTAATCTTGGGGAAATGGCCCTCCCTACTGCAAGCTGCCGAGCCAACTATGTTTACCGTATGTCTGGAGCAAATTACGGCTCTACCAGCCCAACATATGGGGAAGAAACATAAAAATTTGGGGCTGACACCTATTTTTTTGGTCCCTCACCCACTGCTTTGTACTTCTCCCCACAATGCACCGCGATGGCCAACCTTTGACCCACCTGTTCGATGTCGCGAAGTCTCGTGAATCGAAATCTCGCAAATCGCGAGACTTGGTCAACCACCTGTTCGGTCTCGCGAAATCTCGCGACGGAGAGTCTCGCAAATCGCGAGAGCTATTACCCACCGTCCCGTGCGCGGTTGCCATGGTGCTAGGCAACACTAAGATAGGCTTTCCCCAGCTGTAAGGTTATTCCCACACAGTTACGTGGCAACCCTCGAGAAAGCGTGTTGTGCCTAAATCCGCGGGACAATTCTACGATTTCTAGGCTGAATCTTGGCTCGAGCAGACCTTCAAGATGACGATGACATCCAAGAGAGACCCTTACCCCTTCCCTAAGCTGGAATGCGACGATAATTTTGTGGGAGCGAGGCAGAGCCAGGTGAGATACATAACGTTATAACATAACTATGAAATCCAGCATTATCCATTCATTTCTTCTTAAGCAAGACTCATTTGACCCATGAAAAGATGTATGAATATACACAAACTGCACAGAAAACAGCCACACTCCACAAACAGTACAAGAGACTTGCTGCCCAAGCGCTCTTGACATAAGAGTTCTTGTTCAGGCAGTCATGGCGTTGTAGAGCATAGACAGAATAAATTCAATAATGCTGTTTTGGCTCTCGAAGTCTTTCAATCGATTTCATAAGCCATCCAGTGTTTCAGATGTAAACTAGGTGATATTACCATTGCGCAAAGGCATCTAAAATGTGTTTGTTGTAACCAAGACCCAAAGTAATAAGCTCAAATCATGTTATATTTTGAGAGAAGAAAAACACCATTATGCTAATGATGTTCCCAGAGCAACACAATGTTTACCTAGTGAAAATTCCCAGTTTACATGAAAACAACGCCCTTTCTTCTCCCAAGATAGCTTACAGGACTTCCATACCGTCAACATGGTGTCAGGAGTGACTGTTGAAAAGCTTGCCTTGTAAAACGATATCCGCGCCGTGTTGACAAAACATTGGCAAACGCTGAACACTTTGAATTTGGAAAAAAACATAAGTAGGCCAAATGTTTCAGTCCGATCCGTCGGAAACCAAACCAAGTTTTACATGTTAACTCAAGAACCACTTATCTTAAACTTGCTACAGTCAAGTACAAATTAAAACCCTGGCATCCAAAGCCTAAAAGGACTGTGTTATCTTCTGCATTACGTTACGTTTGTTTCTATCACCATGTAAACGCGAACAGTTAAATGATAGAGATCGCCATTTCTAGCCTTTTTTTTAGATTTTAAACCGCCCCGTGCTCAGTACCGAATATATGGGTCATTTTCCCTAGAACTTGCTATGATACAAAAGATTTAAAAGTTCAACTGTTTTCCCTACTCAGATGCCGCCGTACTCCGTGCCCGCCCACCTCGCCCAGTCCCAGGACCCCTGGAACAGACTCAACCACACCGCCACCCTGTCTAGCCAGCGCAGAGAGGCGCACTACTACGACCCACAGGTGGGCACATGTTGTCATGGTTTGCTTTGTTTGTTTTTAAATCATAGTTGTGGAGGTGTATGGCTAAACCCAAAGGCCATGATTTTGTTAAGATAAAAGTAAAAGGTGAGCAACTTGAAAAACAAATTTTAAGGAAAAATACACCTATAAAAAAAAAGGTTCCGCAGTTATCACAACACTTTTCTGCAGGGTTGACTTGTGGTGACTTCTATCTTAAAGCTGGTGTGTTACGCCGAAAGGCGGTTATACCGGCTATACAGATACAGATACAGATCTTAAACCAGGAAACAAGTAATTTTGCATTTTTTTTACATGTGCAGCATTTCAGTTTCCCACAGTGACCAAATGTTGTGCATTGACATTTGCAGGCCCCCAGTGACAGCCTAGATTTTGTGCTGAAGTCCACATATGACCATCACGACCGCTTCTTGTACGACAAGCCAAGGACTCTAACACAACCAGAAACTGTGGGTCTACCACACGGGTAAGAACAGAAGTCTATATTTTACTATTCTTTTATCTCTGAACAACATGATTTCTTATATTGTTAGATTTTGTTCTTCAAACTTTGACAAAGAAAAAGTTACTCATCAGTGGTCAAAATGTATTACTAGTTCCAGTATGCTAACATAAGTCTCTTCTTTCTTTGGAATATAAGAGGCTGACACATATAATCCTTTACATAAGTGATGACATGCAAACTTTGTTTTCCAGCCGGATCTTGAAAAATCGCATGAAGTATGTACCACCCCCATTTGACCCAATGGACCCTCCCCTGAGGGTATGTGATGCAGACAAGAAGGAACCAGTCCACAGTAACAAGGGGGGAGCTATCGGTGAGTGGTCCCTCCTGTTTTATAATGGATTTTGACTGGAAAAAAACACAGTGGAAATCTGGACCCCATTGCAAACTTTGAAAGTTATATGATCATATATACTCTGAAATAAGGGTTCTTCGTTACTTTTGTTACTTAGTACTTTTGTGATGCAAAAATTTACATGTACACTGATCACATGTTACATTTGTAAGTAATAATATAAATTCAGTTGTGACATAAATCCATAAATCTTGGTTGAATACTAAGGCTTAAACAAAGGAAGGTGAAACAAATGTCCTACTGGGCAGGTTGGTTCTGTCCATTGTGCTGAAATGAAAGCTTTTCCCTATATCATGTATACTACCAACACCTGAACTATATGTCAATCTACAACACTCTTACATTTTCTTTTCTTTCTGTTCATTGATACTTACATTTCAATTCTTTGTTATTTTTCAGAGAGCCACCACAGTGCAGCAACAAACCCAGGCTATTCTAGAAAACATGACGGTGGATTTTACACCATTTAGGTCTGACATCTACCTAGAAATACCAAAAACCACATCAACAGAATCATAAGCCTTATGATAAGGAGTACATATTACTTCTCTAACTAGGATTTTACCTGCCATTGTACTAAAGTCTTTTTAATGTACAGAAGTGCTACTGAGATGATTTTGCCAAATGCATAGCAGTAACAATAGTGGTAAATGGAGCATACACAGTTGCCAATGAGAAATTATGCTGCACAGTTACTCAAGTGAACAGACATCATGGAAAAAGACGTTCAAAACTACAATTGTATCAAAGATTGCTGTTGTTTGAAATACACTTTGTAAGAGTTCTTGCAGGTAAACACTTTGCTACTATGTACAAAAATGTAGGAAGTATTCTGGGGATAGCTGTCCTATTGTCTTAACATTTTGTACATTGAAAATATGGGAATATAACATTTGTCTAAGATATATGGGATACATCTCTGTTCTCATGTGCCACAGGCAATATGCTGCTCTCATGCCTATTAAACAGGTTTTATCAAATAATTTCCAAATTGTCTATCTCAGAAGTGAAGACTATCAGTGAAGACACTCCAGTAGTAAATGATGGCATGGTACACTCACCTGATTGTATTATGTGGCATATTTTTCCTTTCTTTGTTAGCACCCTCAGTATACTATGTAAATAACCACGACAGTGTTGTTATTTTAGCGTGCCATTCCTGACTTTCACCAAGAAGATAGCATAAAAGCTAGGTTTGAACACATGTTAGTCCCTGCTGCAGTGTTTTGTACAGATGCACTAATAAACATTGCAAATGTTACATACAAAATGTCATGGTTTATCTTGTTATTGTCGAGCCTTAACAATGAAGTTTCATCATTGTCTTGTTCCATAATCAGAGAACTTTGAAGGTAAAACCTGCCTCAAAAAGTAGCAATCTTCTGTTGCAAATCTGTTTTAACCACATCATATACAAAGTGGTGAAGGCATAATCTTCAAGTACAATGTAGATGTTGTGAGGATAAAGTTTTCCCGATCCTCCCCTTCACGTTCCAGTGACAACCAAGTCGAGTCAACACAAAACATTAAAACGGGTCAGTCAGTAAAACGTCACTTTCTTTCCTTCTAACATCTGCTTGGAGATTACCGCACAGGCCAAGATCACTCTGACCTTTCCCATGTACTTTGTACCACAGTAGACCTAGTTGTGACGAAACGTGATTTACATAGTCCAAAGTCCATCTAATATTAGGTAAGCGCTCCAGTGGACAGTTTGCCGTGTACGTGATCCCGTGACACTGTAGGAGGAAAACTGTACAGTGTTTTGTTGTCAAAATGCCGGGTTTACTGAAGAACGGAGTGCTGACAGATAGCGAGATTGTAGTTGAATCTGACCCGTTACTGAAGGACTACAATGGTGACTACAACACCACGTACTCCAGTATCAACCGCGCTGACAGCGGCCTACCGGCGAACCCAGCCGGACTTCAGCACGGCCGCATATACAAGAGGCGGTGGTACATTCTGGGTCTCTTCTCGATCCTGGCGGCCACACAGTGCATGGTGTGGAACGTGTGGGGCCCGATCTCCGACTCCGCCAAGTTCGTGTTCGGCTGGGAGGACAGCGACATCGCCCTGCTCACCAACTGGGGACCGATCGCCTACATCCCGCTAGCCGTGCCTTTTTCATGGCTCATGGATGTCAAAGGTCAAAACTGCTTATACATGTATACTGTAACTCTTGTCACTTTTAGAGTGTAAACCAAAAAGCTTTGGAGGGTCAAATATCAGGCTCTGGTATTATATACTTCCACTAGAGACTGCGACTTCTCATTGACAGATGAACTTAATTTGACAGATCGATCTTCAGAATGCCATACTATATGTGAAGTACGTTTTGCATGTCTTCTTTTCTTTTCTTTTATATTGTGCACATGCACGATATTGCAATAGTGAAGTCTAGGGTCGCACAAATCCGATTTTCGTCTCTCAAACGGGCGCTCAGCGATCGCCGTCTAGCGGAAACGGGCCACAAGGCATCTACTGAAGTTTGGTTTTCTGTTACTTCCTCCACCTCTAGGCCTGCGCATCTCAGTGATAGTGACAGCGTTCCTAGTGTTTGCTGGCACGGCTATCAGATGTGTCACCGCCTGGTACATGGGAGCCGCCACATGGTCAGTTCTACTTGTCTTTCTGGCTTGCTGGCTGGCTAGCTGGAATAGTCGACTTGTGAATTGATTTTCATCGGTAATATCTTTCAACAAGTTACGATGTAAAACTGGACTCTCGGATTTGTTTTAAATCCAGGTTGATGAACATAGGTCAGTGTCTGAACGGCATGGCAGGTCCAGTCGCTATGTCTGCTCCTGCCGTGCTGTCCGCCGCATGGTTCCCGCACGAGCAGCGCGCCACGGCCACGGCCATCGGCACCATCCTCGGCTGTCTGGGCGGGGCGGGCAGCTTCATCATCGGGCCGCTCATCGTCAGGTCACGGGCCGCCAACCACACTCACACCGGCCATCACAACGTCAGCGGGTACGACTTTGTTTGTTCGTCTTTGTTTATTTGAACGTTTATTATGTTTACCGAAGGAAAACAACTTGTTTTTGCTCAGTTTCTTCCTCTTCTTCTTCTCCAAACAAATAAGGTCAATGACCTGAACCAGACGTCTGTCACCATGGTAACTGGTGCTGGGTTACATCATGTTGCAATTCTATAGCAGAAGGGATTTAGACTCCTGTCACCATATAATATTATATGAATGTGATTAAGTAAGAATTAACAGAGCGGACTATGTGCAAAGGTAAACATCATGTATTTGCTTTGCAAATGTTATCTTTCTAGTTTAGTCATACTAAACAAAATGCCAGGTCATGCGTCCTGATTATGACCAAAGAGACTACCGGAAGTTGGTGATTTGGGACTTGTGTTGAAACAAGTTTGGACTTCTATTATGAAAGATAAGCTAATGATTTGATCATCTGTTATCTACAGGTTTCTTCTCGAGGAGGGGATCCGGTCGTCTAAAAACGAAACAGGTACTTTGATCTTTGTTATAAAAGGGACTATAACGTTATAGATGTCACTTCTGTATTGATGCCTGCCTGCTGCCTTACGTACGGATAGATGTTCTGTCCGGGAAGTTCATGTTATTTTGTGCCTTTATTTTCACAGAATGGAAGATTGAAAGGGACGAGATTATGATTCTAATGTACGCAGGTAAGTAACCCTTATGTTTATTATGCATTCTAAAAGATATCAATGTATTGATTGATTGATTGATTGACTGACTGATTCCCTGTGGTGCTCTATATGGTGTTATACTAAAATCAAAGTACATGTCAGAGACAACATTGGGAAAATAACAATAATTGCAAAGAAACGAAAATAAAGAAAAACAGGTTGCTTTTCCATAAAGACGTGTGTGTTTCAGACATATTTGTAGAGACAACATTTATTGTTCCCCGTTGTTGCAGAGTTTGCCCTCAGTGCGGCCATCTTCCTGGCCACTATAATCTACTTCCCGGACAAGCCGCCGACCCCGCCCACCCTCACGGCCGCTACCGAACGACTGGACTTCAAGGCTGGCATTAAACAGCTTCTCAAGTAAGGGTTCTGTCGTGCGATCATCGCACGAACGCCATCAAACTAAGGGCATTCTTAGGATACTTTTGCATATGTCGTACAAAATCATGCAAATGAATAGATATATAAGTGTGTTTCATTTTCCACCTCATTCTTCATATATGACAGCCATGAAGTTTAATGTTATTTTGTTTATTTCCAGGAACGGGCGGTTTTGGCTGATTTTCCTGGCGTATGGCGCGGTGGAGGGGACGTACGGCTGCTGGGCAGGTATCCTGGACGTCAACCTGTCACCACAGAACATCACACAGGTAAAGGCGCCGTCATATTCATCGTAGTATAGGCCTTCGTGCGATGTTACAGTAAAGGATTATCAAGTAGGCTGTGACAGAAGCAATCGCACTCTCATGCCTTCATAGCTTATGATACTGATATGCTTCCATTGATGGATGTCTATTCTATACCTACAGATGGAGGCAGGCTGGGTGGGCTTTTACGGCAGCATAACAGGAGGAGTCAGTGGTATCATCATCGGCAGGTGAGAGAACATTTATAATGTACGTAGGGATCGGAGATAGACTTGAAGAAGGTATAGAAAGAAGTAAACAAGCAGAAAAGGTCACAAGAGACTCACAAAACAAGCCCCACCGATACATCTGCTTGAAAAATGTTTTTCCCGGCCCATTGATCTATGAGCTTATTTGTCTTCATCATCCAGACAACACGTCATACATTTTCTCTGATTTCCCTTGTCCCAGGGTTGCTGACTTTATGGGCGGGCACTACAAGCTGGCTGTCCTGGTGCTGACCGTGGTGCTGATCGGCAGCACGCTGTGGTTCACCTTCATGCTGTACATCAGTATTATACCCTTCAACACAGGTCAGACCAGCAAACACGCTCAGAATGTAACATAGATAATCATAGATAATCAGGCATCATCTTGGTGCTAATGTGAGTTCTTGTTGTAAACACTGTATTCCATCTTCTGGATGATTGTTGATGCCTGACACATCCTACTTTAAAATCCGTCGACGTCAAATAAAACGACGATCTACAAAGAATGTAATTTGTCGTATTTCCAACTTATACTCTTCCCGACAGTATCTCTCTACGCGTCGTTCCTGCTGCTCCAAGTGTCATTACTGGGCTGTGTGCCGCTATTCTATGAGCTGAGTGTGGAGGCCAGCTACCCCATAGCGGAGGGGATCACGTCAGGTGTGCTCACATGGTCCAACAACCTCTTCGGTCTGCTCTTCCTACTGGCGTTCTACATCCCAAATATAGGTGAGCTACAATACTTCAAATTCATCCAAATGAATGTGTGTGACTGTGTGTGCGTGCTTGCGTGCTTCTGCGGTTATGTCCATTTTACCGTTTTGTGTTCTGTTTCTGTAGGGACCAGCTGGATGAACTGAACGGCCCTGGGGACCGGTGTGGCCGTGGTGCCGCTCATGTTTACCGTTTTGTGTTCTGTTTCTGTAGGGACCAGTTGGATGAACTGGACGGCGCTGGGTACCGGTGTGGCCGTGGTACCGCTCATGTTTACCGTTTTGTGTTCTGTTTCTGTAGGGACCAGTTGGATGAACTGGACGGCGCTGGGTACCGGTGTGGCCGTGGTGCCGCTCATGTTTACCGTTTTGTGTTCTGTTTCTGTAGGGACCAGTTGGATGAACTGGACGGCGCTGGGTACCGGTGTGGCCGTGGTACCGCTCATGCTACTGTTCCGGGAGAAGTACGGTCGGCTGTCGGTAGACACCGGGCAGGCACAGAACAAGGGCGTGTCAAGTTAGATGTGACTGCTATTTTCCACACCAACGTTATGAGACTAATTTTTACTATAAATATTTCAAACTTGATGACCTAAATATTTCAAACTGGACAACTCTCATCCAAAGCCAATATCGACTGTAAAGTCAGCCATGAATGTATCTTATCTTATTAATGTATCAAATACTCGTAATTATCTGTAACATGTTAAACATGATCAGTTATCAGTTTTGATGAAGCATATTGCTGCTATGAATGGTCAATGAAATAAATAGTACATTGTCGTCATGGTGCCAATATTCTGGCCCAACCTTTTCCAAAGATGTCAGTTCATGAATTAATTCAGATACCAACTCTTCTCCGTTTCCTTCCAAATCATCTCACGTTACGGGCGTATGTGCAATCGGCGGTGACAGGGTTTGATACATGTATATATATGTTAAAGCTTACGAAACCGGTAAACTGTGGCTTACATGCCCCCTTGTACAATAAACTATAAAAATCGTTGAACCTTGAACCAGACTGATGTCGAGACTTTACGTCTAAGATTTGATTATGGCCATGCATATACGTTGAAGTTTTTCTAAAGGTTGTAATAAAATAAGACATATATATCATATTGAATTCCACGTGTCACGATGTTTTCCTTCTACCTCATCTGAGTATGAAGTTTTAATGAATGTGTAGTTTTGTGCTGAATTACAATCTGTCAGGCTATTCTATCTTTAAAAGGTTCCGTAGTGACTCGTATCAATTTTAGCCAGGCCTGTGCTTGCTAGGTCACGAATCTATGTAACCCTTGATCTCATAACTTGGAATATGGTGCAAGAAAAAAAGTGCCAATTCAAAACAACAAAACACTCAAACAATTTTTCCTCTATCTATAAAATTCGTTCAGCCAATCTGTCAAACGTTCAGTTCCTCGGTGGTCGCTCAGTAGTCGCAGCCTCTAGTGGGAAGGGAGTGTAAGCAAATACATTTTGTTACGAGACAATGCATAGGATGATGTTCATGTTTGGTTGGTGGGTGCGATGTTGTTCCAGTGAGCATAGGTCATGTGATATAGGCTAACACGGACCCGTTGTACCACCTGTATGTCCAGGGTTCAAAGTGCAACAAAATATCTACAGTCAGCGAGCAGAGCTTGTTTTGCTAGACATTCAAAGGTCATCGAACATTTCAAGACCTTTCGAACCATGTCCTGCATTCAAACAAGTTCTCAGAGAGCTAGCTCGCAAAGAGGACGACATGACAACCTTGCTCAAAGACAACGACTTTCCAGAAGCGTCGGAGCCGCTAGTGTTGAACAATGAAGTCTCGGAAGATCCGGACACAAATCCGGACGGTATCGGTGCACTAGGGTCATTGAAAAGTCCCCGCCTGTACAGACGACGGTGGTACATCCTCGCGCTGTACTCTATCCTAGCCGGGACGCAGGGCTCCCTCTGGAACACATGGGGCCCGATCTCCGACTCCGCCAAGTTCGTGTTCGACTGGGAGGACAGTGACATCGCCCTGCTGACTAACTGGGGACCGATCGCTTACATGGTGCTGGCCGTGCCCGTTTCATGGCTCATGGATGTCAAAGGTCAGCGGAGAGTTTTACGAAAATGGCCATCTGTTGATGTATTAAAATCTTTCATCGATGGTTGTAATGCTTAGGTCACATTTCCAAACCGGGGCCCGGCCGGGCTGCTTGTATGAACGAAAAATTAACAATTCATGTCAAGAATATACAGAAATAGTGCCCATGATTGTTGCTAAAAACTTTTTTGCGTTTTGTTGTCTTTTATATCGTATTTTTCGTTCCAAAAACCTGCCCGGCCGGGCCCCGTGTGGGAATTGTGACCTCAGCATTACGAAGCCCAAATTGAGATGGCTGCAGGATACAAAAGTCCTTGACATATACAATGTTTAGTCAAAAATGTAAACAAGCGCGTTGGTCAGTTCTCGTGTTGTATTTCAGGGTTACGACTTACGGTTCTCCTGGCAGGATTCTGTGTCTTTGCTGGAGCGGGAATCAGATGTCTCACAGTGTTCAGCCTACAGGCCGGGACGTGGTGAGTTTTCTGGATGGGACTGGGGGGGGGGGAATTGTCATCATGCGATTTCTGCTTAACAATGAGTTGAAGTCCTGAAACCGTTTTGTCTTCTTTTGGTTTAACAGAACAACCTGGCAGAGCGTTCTGGTGCAATATGATGTAAACGTTTCAGATTTTGACTGATTGTGGTTCCTGTTACGTGACCATTCCACATTGAGGTTTCCAGGCACTTAGACCCATCAATGACGTCACATATTGGAAGTCTGTGGGTCATTATTACTGAAACCGGTCAATAATTGATTTGTAAGTATTATTGTCCAGATCAGCCAGTACGATCTTGTTATCTTATATCTCCCAGGTTTATTAATATCGGTCAACTGTTGAACGGTGCTGCTGGTCCCGTTGCCATGGCAGCGCCTCCGGCCCTCTCAGCTGCCTGGTTTCCTCACGAACAGCGCACCACTGCGACTGCCATTGGTATTACAGTGGGGGCTATTCTGGGAGCGGGTAGCTTCATCATTGGACCGCTCATTGTGACCCAGAAGCCAGACAACCAGACTGAGCATCACAATATGACCAGGTTAGCTTTCCGCTCTTTCCACTGCTTGTTCTTGATTATGGTCCAAATGTTCAATGCCTTGTCCTATAGGGAAAAAAAAGAAAATAACAGTAAAACAACGGCAGGACCAATATTAAAGAAAGACTCTTGATGATAAAAGATAAACTTGCAGCTTCTTTTCTGGTGTTTATTTTAGTGCGTGGGAGGATTCAAGTTGGTTGTCGCAGGGGAACAGTACAAGTAAGTTACAAATGATTTGAAGTTCAGGCTTTCCGATGATTATGCTTGGAAAAGATCTAAGGCCCAATCACTAAAAAGAGTCATATCTAGATGCTTATGCATGTAGTATTAATGTTACATTTTACACTCTTCTCAATGGTTTGTCAAACAAGATATATCAAAGGAGTTTCTTTTACAGAAGTATTTTTCTGTCAGCAGATTTCTCTACAGCGAAGAGCCAGATAATGTTACTGATGTATGTGGGTAAGTATTGATAGCCAATATTAATTAACTACATAAAGCTTTTTGCTTGTCATTGACATTGTGCAGTAAAGAAACTATAGATCACACATTTATGAAATGACAAAAGCTATAATCCAATCACCAAACGTAGATATAGGATCAGCACTCACCTTATTTTTGTTGTTATCCTTTTTTTCTATTTTGCTGAAAAGATACAAATTTGGTCTGTTCTTTTCGTTACTAAAACGTCGACGTTTCTCTACTGTAATGTTCCAGAGTTTGCCTGGACAGCTCTGATATTCCTGTTAATTCTGGCCTACTTCCCCGACAAGCCGCCCTCCCCACCGACTCTGTCTGCTTCTAAAAACCGCCTGGCCTTCAGGTCAGGGGTCAAACAGCTCCTCAGGTGGGTCAAAGGTGGATTCCGAGTTGAAGGTCGTCAACAGTTATGTTCTGATGGCTACAGTTTTTCAAACATTTTCTGCCAGTCAAACAAAACACCATTGCAGTCACTGCAACAGAGAACAGAGTGTTAGCACAAAATAAAACAAATAGAGGCTAAATGACTTCTCACTGCAACTTTATTTAATATGTTGTAGCGTTCGTTATTTAAACATTGCAGCGTAAAGCATCTGCATGGTGGTCAAATCAAGTTCATGCTGTGAAACTCTTCGTCTCATGCATTGCACAGAAGGGTGCTGCTGACTGAAGCGATCTGTCTTGTCTTCGCAGGAACGGCCGGTTCTGGTTGGTGTGCGTGTCGTACGGAATACTGTTCGGCACACTGAGCAGTTTCGGAGGCCTACTGGACGTCAATCTGTCTCCTCATAACGTCACACAAGTAAGACATATTATCATGATTGTTCATCTATGTTGGTAGTTACATGTTTAAAGTTAAAACGTTCGATCCAACACTAAAAGTTCTCTCACCTTTCGACCAGTCACTCTGGTCTTCCTCAGGACACTGACCCAGTGAGGCTTGTCACGTGGCTTCTTTGAAGTGTGACGTCAACACTGGGTCAAGTGTACATATATCTGGTAGTTCATTAAGTTATGATATTTAGATGGGATACATATGTTTTAGGGAATAAACACGTTGACATATTGAAATTACTAGCATGTGTGTAGGGCTTTTCTCCTACTCTTTTCAGGCAGGATTAGTTAACAATTTATACAATCACCTATCGCAACCAGAAACTTTGGTGACGTATTGAAGAAGTTGCAGTGTTTGTGTGAAACGTTACTTTTACAACTTTCCAACCTGTTTTCTCCCCAGGTAGAGGCTGGCTGGGTGGGGTTCTACAGCCAAATAGCAGGGGGTGCGTCAGGTATAGTTGTGGGGAGGTGAGCATGTCTCTGTTTTGTAAAATGTTTTGTGGTTCGTCTTGAAGTGTGACAAAACAGTTCACCATTAACTGTGTACTCTGACCGTTGGATTTTGAATCTAGATTTTCAGACATGCTCGGGGGACATTTCAAACTCACCATTCTAGTTATGACTGTCGGATACATCGGTAGCCTTCTGTGGCTCGTCTTGATGCTGTATCACAGCATCATCCCGTTCAGCACAGGTGAGATCCCCTATCTATTCTTTTGTGTAAGTATGTGGTCTGCACCTTACGTCTGGCCGTGAGCGCTTGCGTGCATCGTTCGTTGCAAGTGAGTTGTACGTGCTTACAACGTACGATCTCTGTGCGATTGCCACTTTACCGTATGCAGGCCGTACTTACCCGTACTGCTTACCGCGTCGCTCCTACTGGCTCGTATGGGTGGTGAATCCGCACCCCGCAGCCCGCACGCAGAGAAAGTTTTACATGCACTTAAAGTTCTACGGCGTGTCTACGTGCTCCCAAATTCTTAGGATTCCGTACGGAGGTGGTACTCACCACTTACGGAACCCAAACCTTTCCCCACGTTTTTGCACGTAAACAGCACGCAGGTGCACTTACGGCGGGTTGTGACCGAGGCTTTTGTCATCCACAGTGAGCGTGTACGTGTCCAACCTGCTGATGGGAGTGTTCGCGCTGGGGAGCGAGCCGCTGTTCTTCGAGCTCGGCGTGGAGGCCACGTACCCGATAGCCGAGGGCGTGACGACCTGCGTGCTGACGTGGGTCAACAACCTGTTCGGGCTGCTGCTGCTACTGGTGGTGATGGTCATGCCGGGCGGGGGTGAGTGTGGAAGACAGAAGAAATCAATTTTCGACACCAAAACCTGAATTGCCAATGTACATGTACATTGTATGTAAGAAAAAGAAATTAACTGAACCTATTTCTTTGAAAATAGCCTCGTTAAAAAGAGCCCCATTTGTATGCATAAAAAATAAATCATGTTCGGAACAATTTTGATGAAAAATATCCGTCGAAATCAAATCGCACAAATATTCATCAGTAACTTTTCCTTTTCAAGAAAACGTGGTACAGTGTACAATGAACCTGTACACTGTACGGTGCATAGCGTCTATAGTCTCTGTCACAGCCAGTGGAAGTATAGCTCAACTGTTTCAAGTTCCCTTTCTTTCCGTCGGTAGGTACCAGCTCGACTCGGACGGCGGACTGGATGGGGTGGGCGACGCTGGGGTGCGGGGCTGCCGTCCTGCCGCTCATGCTGGTGTTCCGGGAAAGGTACGGGAGACTGGCGGTGGACACCGGCAAACGGACATGAGCCTGTTTCGGAAGATATCACAGTGTAGCATCTGGTGTAACCACCTGTTGTTCATATAGTACTATATTGTAACACTGCATGCATTTAAATAAACATCACCAATCTCTTCGCATCTTTGCATTTATATATTCTGATATCACAGGAAAGACAGTTATTTCAAAAGAAGGGAAACAAGACATGTACAGGAGATTTTGTTCTGCCGGTATTGCTGTCTCGTCCTTCATCAATTCAAACACCAAACACTTTTCCTTTCATGAGTACATACATGTAATATTGGTCGGGTGGTTTGTTTTTACATACCGTTAAGAAAGTCAGTCTCCATTGCAAGCAAATATCCGGTATGATATCTATAGAATTGTGCTCTGAACCATATGGCGCTTCCCACAGTCCTTCCTTATAAAGTATCCCCGCTCACACATCTTGTCATACGCCTAACTGTCCGACACGCGTCCTGCCATGGCGTCCCTACCCGCTGTCCTGTGCGTTGTTCTTCTGTCCACCTGTGCGGCCCACGCAGCGAAACTGGCCCGACAATTTGAAGTGGAGGAGCCGGAGGGGTGCGTGGTGGACGGAGTGTTGTACCCGGTCGGCGAAATACCGAACGACCATCCCTGCCCTACAGAAACCTGCACCTGTCTCGGCCACGGCCAAGTAAGTGGTTAGGAAAGGCACAATAACTTTCAAGTGATCTTTAAAGGTACAATAAATTTGCGATGTCTTTCCTCTTCTTTAGCTTTTTATAACAAGACTCCGTGTCCGTCCACTGCACTACTAGTATATTAATGGGCCTCATGGGTAAACTATATGCTAAACTGAAAAGAATGGTTTTGTTCCAAATTTCTATGTCCTGTCCGCTGTTTCGAAGAAATTTGTTTCCTTTTGCGCAGCTTACTTAATGTGACTTTTATACGGGGGTTAAGACCTTTGAATGATATTTTAGATTTAGACAATAGATTGCTTTCGTATTTAAACTTCACATAAAAAATTGGTATTATTTGTCCAGAATTAGCTACACTTTCCAGTCTTGTTAGCATTTCACAGCAGATCGGACCCTCCTTTCGTCACTTTTTACTGTGCCCGCAGTAGCAATCAGTAACAACTTTACTTCCAATGGAACATATAACTGTATACAACAGCTACAGGCTGTGATTTTACTGTTGTTGTTTTCTCGTGATCCCATCTTAATGCTGAACAGCTGAGCTGCGTGTGGGTGAAGTGGAACGAGTTGAACGTGAAGTCCGGCTGGAACTATCCATTTATCGTCTGCGGACCGGCACCGAATTGCGTTGATTACGTGCTTGAGTACCCCCTTGGGCCCATGTGCTGCCCCACTTGGACCTGTCCTAACGGTGAGAACACATACATGTAGGTAGATGTAAAAAAAAAAGCAGCAGCCGCCATGTTGGCTGGGCTGTAGAGCCATAATAACGTCTGGTGATGCCATTTACAACGACCTCGTCCCATCCGTTGCTGCCCTACTTTTTCCCCAACAGCTAGACATTGTGCCCGTTCACATGTTACGCAATGGTGAAAGAAAAGTATATTGGCTACAATACATCCAACCAAAAGTCTTTTTATTCAACCAAAGTCTTTTAAACAACGATTTATACAGCGACGGCGTCTTATAAATCCCGCTTTTCTTTCCTACAGGTCCGAACTGTTATGGTTTTGGTTCGACCATCCCGGTGGGCCAGTGGGTAGATGTCGGGGATGGTATGAACTGCTACTGTCCGAGCGCGGCCGGTATGACAACATGCACCACCACCGTGGCTCCCCCCACTACCACCACCGTATTATGAAAACGCGAAGGCAGATAAAAGCTGTTACTACCGCGTGAAACAACAAAATACACACTTATTGCATCAATGACCCAATCTCTTCATGCATCTCCCGTGCCCTAGTTTAGAGTCTTTACATTTAGATATCACAGGAATAGCAATCTAGGTATTTTATTGCCCATAAGTCGTTACGTGAAACTGCAAATTGAATTGCTCTCTCGTCCTTCATCACTTCAATCAATTCATCCTGTTATGATTTTATAATATGAAGTCTCTTAGCTCTGAGAAGAAAAGGCACACAACAAATGCACTGGACAGGTTATCTTTAGCTTTAGCTACCGACCACTACCACATGCCCTTCCCCTCGATTTTTATTTATTTCTTGTTAACTAACCCAACAACAAAAGTTTGAAGTTAGTCAAACAAATAATTAACCGATTGTACATGTCAATACAAAGCATAACATAAATAGCACACAAAATAATGAAGCAAAAATAACTCATTTGCCTCTGCGCTTCTCTAGATTCCTCCTCCTTGTAGCAATTAGATATTCTACTTTTTGAAAAAAATATTTAGTCAAAGATTGAAACCTCAAGAAGTTGTGTGTGGGAGGGGGTGTGGTATGATATTTATAGTATACCATGCATGCCAACCTCGATTTTTTTACGTACGTAACGTCGCAAGCAAATATCCGGTAGGATAGTAGATTCAACCACATGGCGCTTCCCACACCTTTCCCGGCGCACAACTCCCGTACACGTCGACCTGCTCACACATTCTATCCAACCCCACATCGCCCCTACACGACGTACCATGGCGTCCCCAGTCTCTGTTCTTTGCGTAGTTTTGCTGTCTGCCTGTGCGGTCCACGCAGACAGACCGTCCCGACAGTTTGAGGAGGTGAAGCCTGACCAGGCGTCGTGCGTGCAGGACGGGGTCTCCTACCCGATCGGCGCGTCTGTACCGGACGACGATCCCTGCACGTTCGGCTGCTTCTGCGCCAGCCCCGGTAACGTAAGTATTTGCAGTGCCGATTCGGCAAACTGAGGACATATATTTAGCAAAACTCAGCTGCCTTGTTGATTACGGAAAGCTGTCTTACATCCTGGCGGCGATTAGTTCAGTCACAGTCTGCACGGAAATTCCACGCCATCAAAAGCATTGGACGGGCTATGATGAATTTGACCGCATCCTTATTACTAAACAATCAAGATTATTTTCGCTAAAACCGCACGTTGACACCCCAAAATGATTATCTCAAACCCAGTTTGATACCCAGACATGATCAAGAGAGTCAGAGTCTATTCCTAAATTATAAGCCAACTATAAGGTCAACCACTTGACTTTCAACAGATGGTTTAGCCGTAAGTTATAACTATATATGTTGCACAGGTGATCTGTGCGGTTGTGAAGTCCCCCCGTAGCTGCGCCTTCATGCAGCCGGCGTGTGTTGACGCCGTGTACGTGAACGACCCGACACAGTGCTGCCCCTACATGACCTGTCCTAACGGTGAGAACATGCACATATGTTTATACATGTACTCAGTTTAGATAGATAAATGTACTATGTATACACACAATACAACAAGAATTCGGAGATCTCATACCTCCATGAAATATATGAGTTTTTGTAAAAATTAATGTTTTTTATTTGTCTCATTGGCTATGGAAATAAGGTCATAATCTAGTTTACTTTAGGGTTTCCTAGATTCAAACTACAATATTTGGCGTGTGACATTCCTCTCCTTGTGAACAATTAATTTCAACATGCCCTCATACATTATGCAAATGACCTCTACATTAACATGATATATACATAGTGATGTTAACTTTAAAGTAACTTACACATGTCGCAAAATTCCCATCATCATAAGGAACCACGGAATTTTCACAATAATTATGCAAATTAGGTCATCATTTGCATAATTGTATCTGTTAATGTTCCACCTGCCATAGATTACATAATTACATGTATAAAAGTATTATTATGTCAATTTTATGGAGGTGAAAATTGAAATACCTGCTTGACATTTTAAAATCATATTGCCAGAGATGTACAGAATCATATTTTTTCATGAAATTCATTTTGTAAATGCTTTAGTGTCCTGTTTCCTTCCGTACAGGTGAGAACTGCCAGGCGGGAGACCAGATCATTCCCGCCGGCCAGACTGTGGAAGTGGACGGTGCGCATTGCCGCTGTCACGGCATGCTGGCCGTCTGCTCCGCCACGGTCAGTCACGAGGCGGTCATGCCTCTCAACTAGTTCGGGCAGCAGCGGTGCAAAGCAAGAATAGAGGCACCGGAAAACCGACATGCAAAAGAAGTCAGCTGTTGAATCGTCAGAATCATCAGAATAAACACCTTTGCGAGCCACATATTGTGTCAAAGGTGTCCTCGTCTTTCACTGTATACAATAAACCTCATAACTAAGAAGGAGAGAAGAATTGAACTGTATAGTGGAAAAAGAACGGTTTAGCTATTTTAGATTTGTTTCTGCGTGTGTTTTTCAGCGATATTTCTAATAAACACACTGAGTATTGTCATACATCCTCAGTGCTAAAAATATTTGTCTGTAAGACTAGAAGGGTCGTAAAGCAGTGAGGATAAAGGGGTGAAGTCTGCCGTCTCTGATTGCCATTTTGTAGAAGGTAGCAGAGTTGTTGCCTAGAATTTGACTTATAGGGGCCTGCGCCTAAAAAACCTCACCATGCGCCAGTAGTGCGGGATGCCCCGTTTTACTACCGGGAGTTAAACTTTCTACAAGGTAATCTCTAAAAATGCCCAAACAGTTCAGTAGGGCCCGGGTTATAGTTCACTCTATGGTCAAACTTCTTCCAAAGCGAGGGGCGGCCTGCGCACGCGCTGATGACGACTACCCTGTCCCTAAACTCCAGCAGGTCTTCCTTGATCCTGGTGTCCAGTTCCCGGACTCCCCTCGTCAGCTCTCCGCCTTTCACCCGGTCCATCGGAGGGGGGAAGCCTTCTCTCATCATCGCGAGGTACCTGGTGAAAGAAAAACAGGATTCTCACATCTGTTCATGTTCTAAACATCTGATGTACAGAAACTAGAGTGGAGAAACGAAATAATTTTAACAAAAAATAAGTTGTTTGCCACAGATAAACAAACAAAACTATTGTTATCTTATTTTATTTCATTTTATTTCATTTTATTTCATTTTATTTCATTTTATTTCATTTTATTTCATTTTAACAGTAACTGATGCCAGAAACAGATCTAAATATATATTTACATGTAACATCTCTCACAATGCAAGAATAAGTATGTAAATGCAGAAAAGATTGATTTGTTATTAGAAAAATATTAAAAACCACAATAATCCCCAGAAACAAAAAAGCTGCATTGTTTCCTCGTAAAATATCAGGAGTAAGACTTCAGACCTGTGTTAGGGTAAGACCCTGTGGATTTCACAGCTGTGAGGGTTGGAGGGAGGGAGTACTTTCCTATTTCCAGCTGTTGCCAACAGGAGTACTTCCCATGGGTGCTGATAGCATCAAGACCCAGGTGGACCTCCTGCTAGCAGCTGGCTGATAATACAGGCAGGTGAAACTCATCTGTATCCAAAACCAGTCTGCTACCTGGTGTTCCAACATGTATTATGCTGTTGCAATTTGAAAGTCAAAGTCCCTTACCTCAGTCCATGAGCCAGTTCTCCACTCTGTTCTGACCCAGACGGGTGGAGGAGGTGTGGTGGGCAGAATTTCCAGGCACGGAGCAAACTCACAGTCCTCGATGTCGACATGCCTCGCAGCAGCATCACACTCACTGTCCTCAAGTTCCTCCCCTTTGGGAGTCCTGCAGACCACAGCTCGCAGACGGTACCCACGGCCGCATGTCACAGTACACTGGAGTGGGGGGAGAAAGAGACATTTGAGGTCTAACGTTAATAATTATCTAACATACAATGCATCAATTCAGATACTCATTTATATGGGTTACACTTGTCTTCACATTCTCAGACACTGATATGTGAAACGTCTGACTATTAAGGCAATTCATTCGCAACTATGCTTTCGTATTACATATTAACATGATAATAATTACGACATATATCATGTTCTATCCAGGATTTTGCCCGGCTAACTGACCTGTCCCCAGTTGCCATAGTGCCAGGTGAGACACTCCCCCAGGTTACATGGCTGCTTCATCTCAGGCCTGGAGTCCAACTCGCAGTCGCTCACGTCCACCTCCTGCACGCCGTTGTGGCAGAACGCCTGGCGATGACGAACACCATCCCCACATGTGACCGAACACTACAGGAGAGAAGGCAAAATTATTCATACATGTGATCTTGTCTGCCAGTGGTACACAGATGACCAGCTGATGGTAATTGGTACTAATAGTAATTCTGAAGAAAAAAAATGTCGTCTCTAGGACAACTTTTCTGCTTTTCTTCGTACAGTTGTTTTAAACAGGGACTTTCCTTGTACATTAGACATATATGTACTCTACTTAGTGTTTGCCTACTTAGTGTCAGACACTAAGTGGGCAGACACTAAGTTCAGTTAGCTAAACTTGTTTAAGATGTGTTGATGGCAGTTACAGTAAGGGAAACTCACCCCAGTCCAGTCGTTGACTACCCACTGCGGGCAGGCATGATCGTTGCAGATCTGGTCGACTATCCGGTTGCTGGCATCACACTCGTCGTGAGAGACCGGGCTCCCACTGCTGTCCAGGCAGCTGGCATCGCGGAACCGGCTGCCTCCGCCACAGGTCCGGGTGCACTGGTGACACATCGTACATGTACTTTCATTTTGTGCTGAAAGGATGGATATTTAGACCGACCCCCCCTAAGCACTAAATTCTATTGATGACACCCTCTGCAAACTCATTCACACAACGCAAGATGAGAGCAAATTAAAAGAAAAAGTAGACCAAAAAACTACTTCAAGTTTCCTAAATAAGAGACCACAAGCATTGTAATAGGACCTGCAGTTACAAGACATGGTGCTCCACCTTGGGCACACTAAAGATCCCACCACTTATCCAAAGATTAGGGTTGAATAAAAAATTTACCTCAGACCACTGTGTGAACTCCCAGTGAGTAGGCAGACATTCCCCAGAACACCTCTCAACATCCGAGGGTCGCTGATCCTCACAATACTTGTCATCCACGACGATCGGCTGACTGCTCAGGGGGTTCTTAACACACTGGATAACTCTGGTGACAGTTCCAGTTCCACATCGCACTGAGCACTCACTGGTATGGGCTATCACCCACCTATGGGAGGAGCATAGTATTGTAAACATTACGTTGTTTACAATAAATGCATAAATATCATAGCTTTTGGTTGCAATCAAAGCTATCAATTTTCCTTATTTCTCTCTTAGTGTTGTTCAGGCACTACACCCTAAATGTTATAAGTAAAATAGAACTACAAAAAGGAAAGAGGAGAGCAGCTCACATGATCTCACAGTCCATGTTACAGGTGGAGGTGATGGTGCCAGGTTTGCTCAGGTGGTGGCAACGTTGGTCAGAGACCACATGGCCATCGTCTTCCCGGATACACTGCACCTTCTTCTTCTTCTGGCCTGGAAGACAAAAAAATGCCATGGTATTAAAAAATTCTGGCCTAAGTGGCTGGGTTCAAACCACATGGTTAGGCATATGTAGATCCTTCACCTTGTGGACATGTTGTACTGTTAGACAAAACCCTATATTCCCATATAAGGAAAATCAAACAAAATGTAGTGTAGTTAGGCAAATCTTGCCAACCTTGTAAATGTTTTGAATCTGCGGTAAACTTCTTTCAGGAGCCCTAGAGCCCAGGAGCTGGCCTCCATAGACTCTGTTAACAGTCTGGCATCCAGGCTACCTTTTGCGGGAGGTTCAAGTTACAACAAGACACCTTCAACTCCACTACTCCCACAAGACAAAGGAGAAGCTCACCTTGGCAGACCTTGCTGCACTCCCCCCATGGCCCGTTGGGATCCCACCTGAACTGTGGCTTCTCCACAGGGAAACTGTAGGAGTAGCGGATGTCTGGACGGTACAGCTTCCCTACAGACAGAACCTGGCAAAGACAAAACAGATGATAACCATCTACATCTGTAGAAGACATTGCAAAGGTCCTATACTTTTGTTGTGTCAGTTTATTTTATCATTACATATAATTATCATATATTGTTAATAGGCTGCCTTACCATGACTACAATATCCTCGTCAATGCGTTTGGTCCCGTTGACACGTTCGATGGCATTGTCAGAGCCAGAGTACTCCAGCACTGCAGGTCCTGCCACCCTGATCTCCCTCTTAAACATGCTGACGACAAAGTTCCCGTTCAGGATGTACTCGCCATTACTTCTTCTCAGGGCTGAGGTAGGAAGATAAGACGCTGTATTAACCAGATGCGTGTGTGGTGCCAAATTTCCATTGGTTATGGAGTTAGGTAGGAGGAAGAAGGTTAAGATTGCTTTATCTTGGCAGTTTAGCCACGCAACATTTGGTTTATGGCAATGATTGTAAAAAAAAAGGTGCCCCAAACAATGAAACCAATAAACAAATAAATATGAGCCATCTTAATTGTCATTAAAGTTGGATGCTGGTAAAAGTCCTCAGTAGTCACACCAAGACCTACCGAGATAGTTGTCATCATCCACACGTCCGTAGTAGCCGTGCTGCCTGATGTCAATGTTTGTGGCCCCACGAGGGATGGTGACAACATCATTGTAACCTGGGAGACAAACATATTCACAACATGGATTCAGTTGGATGGTTTTAGCATATACATAAATACATCCAGAATACTACACGGTGTATTCTATATAACTTGAGGTATAAGACCAACCCAGAGGAGACTATCAATATTTGGCTCTTAATTTTTGATTTTCAAAATCCTGGATCCATTTTTAATTTCTTCTTGATAAGACCAGTACATTCATTGTACATTAAGATGATTTTTACATTGATGAAAATTACAATGACAAGGGAATTGGTGGGTAAAGGTAACCTGAAAGATACATGTAAGTTAACACCAATAACAGTAACCCATGACTTCTAGCGGGGACCTGAAACCGCAAGTTTGGCTTCTAGCTGGGTGGCTGGCTAATTCCATACTTCAGATGTCCTTTGCAGTTATAGGAAACATCAGTGGCACAACTGATACAGATCTGCCTTCTACCCAAATCTGAGGGAGGAAGGAAACGTCTGCAGTTCTTCCACCACCTTCATCAATCCTCCCTCTCCATTTTGGGTGGCACAAGGTCTTGACCTTGTGTCTTCATGTTCCCCAACATAGGATAGAGACAATCTACATCATTTTGTAATGTTAATAACTTGGCCTTGAAGACTTGTATGTGTAAGCTGTCAGACTTTGATAAGGACGGCCCTTGAAGATCGAAGAAAGTTGCAGACAAGTAAAGATTGTGACCTGTCAAACCAGCTAAGATTTGTAGGAATCTCAGGAAAAACTATTGACAAAAATTTTTTGCCACTTGATCTTTTGAAGTCTGCATAGATGCATAAAGATGATATTTGTGAGGGCTAACAGGGTAGAAGAACAAACAAGAGACATACATGAATGGGATATCTACACCACCTATACACGAATTTCAGCTTTGGGACTTCTTAGACAAGAGGTTGTGGCCTACTTGCCAACTAGCTTGTTCTCCAAGATTTCCAGAAGGACGACACATAGCTGACAGGTAACCATAGTAACACATTAAATCAGCTGAGAGTTGTTACACTTTCAGGGAAAAATATTTAGTCAGAACACGTTTCTTTGTCTATCACAATGGACCAAATGTACAAACCCAATTCAGACAGTTTACCGAATCCTGACAAAGAACAAGAGCTGGTCATTCTTCGATCGACATTTGTAAACTATAGCTGATTATAGACTTCCTCTCAGCTGTTGGGTAGAGGACGTGTCCACCCACAGCTCTAAGCTATGAGTGACATCGGAAAAACACCTGGTGATTGGAACTGCACAGCTGCATCTATTTTCAGGGCAATCAAGGACACTAGGAAAAAAATGTTGTGTTTCCGGTTACCCGACCGACCCTATGAAAAAAAAACCCGACCCTAGCCTTTTTTGGGCCGACCAAAAATTTCGAGCTGCTAGCAGTCGGTTTCGCGGCAGAGCGAGAGAGCCCGGGCTTTAAAACGTTTTAACGATCACCGGCGCATCAATTAGATCGGCATTTTTTTTTGTCACTGTTGCCCAGGCAAGCGTTTCTATAGTTTGTCTACTTTATTTTGCTGTTTTTCTCTGTTTGTTTACTTATTTTACCACCGAATATGCAATCCTAGATGATCCGAGTGAAGTTATAAATGCCCCGGTCCGCCGTACATAATAGGCGGCGGGCGTGAGGTAACGTTAGGGATGTGCAAAAACATCGCGGAAAATAATCCTATAACACTCGAAAAAAGGCAGCATATTTACACGTGCCCACAAACATTTTTATGGCTAATTATTGACCAGTTTTGGGGAGTTTTGTTATGTCCTTGGAGTTTTGTTTAGAGCGGGACGGAAAGCCGTGCCGCGACTCCGACTCCGTGCACTTCCGTGTTACATTACGTTGTATGTGACCAACAAAATTACGCCAAAGGCACCACAAATCCACATGTACATATATTTTTTCCCGAAATTTCTTTTGAGTACGCATTTCGTCAATAGGATGTTGCTAATTAGTCGTAGAAATAAGGTAGAAACCAGCGTAAATGTGGCTCTCTCGAGATCCAGCTCTCTGCATTTCGCGCGGGGAAGGGCGCCCGGCCCAGCATGCAACGGGCTTCGTTCCAGCCAATCAGAGCGCAGGTCATCTAAGGTGAACCAATCAGACCGTGGCTACTTGCATATTATAATGAGCATGCTGCTTCACATGCCGGCGGCCGGCCCTGAGTGCGCGGGAAATTTGTTTTGCAACTATATTTTTACGGGGATTTTCTGACGTTTGACGCTGACTTGGCACGATATGATAGCACTACCATGTACACGCTACCGTAGGCGGCAAATGAGTGGTCATTTTTATACAATCGTCGAGAAATTTTGGCGTTATGCACCCGGAAGTGAGCCGATCTCAGTTTGCGTTCCCTCGATTTTTGACAGTTTCCCCCGTGTTTCTCCCCTCAAAATAAGAAACAAAACTACCGCTATTAAATATAACCATATATTACAATTATCATTTCAACATGATAGATCTATTATATATTCCTTTATTTAAGTATGATATCATCATGGTTGTGGAAAGTCCTCAGCTGGCGAACCGAGTCCTTGCGCCGGGAGTGACGGTACATTTTACCGTGAGTATTAAAGCCGCTAGTACTACTAGTAGTAAGCCGCGCGCCTTACAAAAATTATAATAATTTTTCTTTTGTGCCAAAAACCGCCGTGAATTTAAGGCATGAGTTACCGATTTACATTTCTTCTACGGCAGATATTTCTTGTTTCGTCACGTCCCATGACGTCCTGTGAGAGCGGTAGGCCGCCGCTGGTACAAAATGTACAAGACGTCGTCTGCCCACTGCTACACTTTGTTGACATACATTGTATTACACAACGTAATTTTCCGCTAGAAATAACGATAGAATAGCATTAAAAGATAGCACAGTCGACACATGGATACGAATCACATGTCCACTTGCCTCTGGTACTGTTACTAGTATTTTTAAAGGGGCAACATCGCAACACATTAGCGGACGCCCCAGGAGGTGGCAAATTGCTATTGTCTTGTCGGCGCGCAAGACAAACATGAAATCCGACCCTATCGGTAACGCGTTAGAAATAATTTCTGACGATTTTCTAACGATCTTCTGACGAAAATCTAACCAAATACTGACGAAAATCTAACCAAATACTAACGAAAATCTAACTCGTTAGTAACGGGGTACCCGGTTAACTATAACGCGAACGGTGCTGTATATACAAACTCTTTTGTTGAAGAATTTTACGATCTGTTTTATACTGCCCAATTTTCTGTGTAGTACAAACAGATCATACGTTCATTGTCCCGGCTTTGACTAATAAAAAAAAGGGAATCCCTACCTACCGACCCTAATTTTTTCTGGACTGTAATAGGAAACACAACATTTATTTCTATATTCAACTAGGAAGGACTTCTATAGATGGACATATCTCGATGACAATCAGCTCACAACAACAGTCCTATCCAAAGATTTTGAGAATTAGGGACTTCATTGTCTTTGAGTAACATGTCCCATTTTGATATTCTTTATCTCAGTATTGCAGTGCAAGCATGTCTAACCCTTGGAAGATGGGGAACAACAGACGATAAACCGGACAGCGAATGAGTGAGTTATTACCTTTTCAGTAACTTAAGCATGCATTGCCCTTACAAGGAGCACCCCAGATCTATAACAGATCTATAAGTAGTTACAGAGATTACTGTAGGTACAAATCAATGAGCCTATTAAACGTGATTGTCAGAACTGTTCATGGGTGATGGAGGGGAATATTATTTCAATTATCATGAATAAAATCTTTGAAACATGTAATACATTGTAAAGGCACAATAATTTTTTTCTTGTTCCCAATGTCTAATTATATATCAGCCAAAAATAGGTCACCTTTTCAAAGAATAGACTGAGAAATTCAGTTAGTTGACCTTTTGTGATCTTGGAACATGCTGTGAAGCCAAGACTAATAAGATTTTCCATGTGTTTTCCATACAGTTCTGTGTGTCCTTCTCTTTATGTAGTTCTGATGGACATGTTGGCTGCATGCAGGCAATGAGGCAGGATTCCAACACCTATACAAAGCTTTCCCTCGGCCAAAATTCGTAAATGTTTTATGTTTTCAGTTTTCTGTAAAACTTCTTCTGACACATTGTTAGCAGTAAGACTGTCGTATGCTGCACCTGTAATTCCGACTTGAGGCAACAGGTGGAGAAGTTGTGGGTGTTTCAGTATCAGCTTGCGGTACTTACCATACTGGATGAGGTTGAATGTTCCGGCTACAGTCTTGCAGGAGGAGTTATCACCGCCACACACCCCACACTTGTCTCGCCGAGCCTTCGAGTTCAGAACCCGGTCACAGCCTGCTACAGGCTGGGGTGGCTGTGGGGCGGGCGTAGTTTCCGTACCGCCCTGTCCGTGAACCGCCGGTCCTGCCGACAATATCAGCACCAGTACAACCACCTGGCACGGAATCATGTTGGCTTCTTCTTCCGCGAATTCCGTCTGCTCCCGACGCGCGATTAGGCTGGAAAAAAATAGCTAATCTTGGGGAAATGGCCCTCCCTACTGCAAGCTGCCGAGCCAACTACGTTTACCGTTTGTCTGGAGCAAATTACGGCTCTACCAGCCCAACATATGGGGAAGAAACATAAAAATTTGGGGCTGACACCTATTTTTTGGTCCCTCACCCACTGCTTTGTACTTCTCCCCACAATGCACCGCGATGGCCAACCTTTGACCCACCTGTTCGATGTCCTCTACCCAACAGCTGAAAAGGAAGTCTATAATCAGCTATAGTTTACAAATGTCGATCGAAGAATGTTGCACAGGTAATCTGTGCGGTTGTGAAGTCCCCCCGTAGCTGCGCCTTCATGCAGCCGGCGTGTGTTGACGCCGTGTACGTGAACGACCCGACACAGTGCTGCCCCTACATGACCTGTCCTAACGGTGAGAACGTGCACATGTGTTTATACATCTGTATCAGCATAGCCGGTATAACCTCCCTTCGGCGTAACACACCAGCTTCACATGTACTCAGTTTAGACAGATAAATATATTATGTATACACATACTATAAAATTGAAATACCTGCTTGAAATTTTAACATCATATTGCCAGAGATGTATATAGAGTCATATTTTTTGATGAAATTCATTTTCTAAATGCTTTGGTGTCCTGTTAATTCCTTCCGTAGGTGAGAACTGCCAGGCGGGAGACCAGATCATTCCCGCCGGCCAGACTGTGGAAGTGGACGGTGCGCACTGCCGCTGTCACGGCATGCTGGCCGTCTGCTCCGCCACGGTCAGTCACGAGGCGGTCATGCCTCTCAACTAGGTCGGGCAGCAGCGGTGCAAAGCAAGGGTACAGGCACCGGAAAACCGACATGCAAGATCGTCAGAATCATCAGAATAAACACCTTTGCAAGCCACATATTGTGTCAAGGGTGTCCTCGTGTTTTACTGTATACTATAAACCTAGTAACTAAGAAGGAGAGAAGAATTCAACTGTATAGTGGAAAATGGACGGTTTTGCTATTTTGTGTCTGTGTGTTTTTCAGCGATATTTCTAATAAACACACTGAGTATTGTCAAATATCCTCAGCGCTACGTATACAATATTTGTCTGTAAGACTAGAAGGGTCCTAAAACAGTGAGGATAAAGGGGTGAAGTCTGCCGTCTCTGATTGCATTTTTGTAGAAGGTAGCAGAGTTGTTGTGCGTACAATTGAGTTGTAGGGGCCTGCGTAGACAAATAAGCTCGCCATGCGACAGTAGTGTGGGATGCTCCGTTTTACTACAGGGAGTTAAACAGTGGCGACATGAATATAAGTGTAACTTGAGTGTGTCGCCACCGCGTCTTGTCATTATATGTTTCAATAAAAAAAACTTAAAGACTGTCCACAAGGTAAATTCTAAAAATGCCCAAACAGTTCAGTCGGGCCCGGGTTATAGTTCACCCTGTGGTCAAACTTCTTCCAAAGCGAGGGCCTGCCTGCGCATGCGCTGATGACGACCACCCTGTCCCTAAACTCCAGCAGGTCTTCCTTGATCCTGGTGTCCAGTTCCCGGACTCCCCTCGCCAGCTCTCCGCCTTTCACCCGGTCCATGGGAGGGGGGAAGCCTTCTCTCATCATCGCGAGGTACCTGGAGAAAAACAGATTCCTCACCCTGTTACATGTTCTAAACGGGAACATCTAGTGTACAGAAACTAGAGTGGAGAAACGAAATAATTGTAACAAAAAAATAAGTTTTTGCCACAGATAAACCATCAAAACTATGATTATTTTATTTTATTTTATCTTATTTTATCTTATTTTATCTTATTTTATCTTATTTTATCTTATTTTATCTTATTTTATTTTATCTTATTTTATCTTATTTTATCTTATTTTATCTTATTTCATCTTATTTCATCTTATTTCATCTTATTTCATCTTATTTCATCTTATTTTATTTTGTTTTATTTTATTTCACTTTATTTCACTTTATTTCATTTTATTTCATTTTCTTAAGGACACTGACCTGTGTTTCTCAATCCTGACGGGAACAGTACGGACCTCGCACGTGACCTTGACGAACCCGTTGGCGCGCAGTTCTGTGGTCAGCTTGTTGGACGACACGCTGGTCTCCTGCAGGAGTTTGTACCCAGCGGCCGGGAGGGGCAGCGAGCACAGTCCTGGAGTACACACGTGAACATGAAATTAGAGATATTGGCAAAAAAAATGAAAAAAAGACTGGCAATACCCAAGATCTTCTGTCATCAGAGGGCTTGGTCAGTCTTTGGAGTGCAGTTTTGTTGGTTGCAAAGCGCAAACCACGGAGTCTAGCCATGGTATATTCTGCACAAAATCTTTCTATTTCAATTTCAATTCTTTATTATTATACCAATTGCAACATTACAGACTTGATTTAGTTATCAATCCCATATAGTACACCGCTCACCTACTGGCCGATGAATAATGACAATTTTCCCATCTTCTGCCAGCATGTTGCCGACGTGGTCGAACATGCTCCCCGTGTTCTCCACACAGCCGAGGGCGTCATAAAACACCACCCTGTCGTACGGCACCGCCTTCCCCGCGTCGCTCAGGAAGTTTCCCGACGACTTGACGGGAATGGCGCCCGCCACGATGGTGAAGTCGTTCTGCGTGTTCGGGTACACGGCGCTGGCGGGCAGGGATCTTTTTAACGGGATGGCGCCGGTCTGCGCTCCGAGATGCACGCGTTTCACCCGCTTCCGTAACGCGAACTTGGACTCCAGAAGGGGCGCGAAGCTCCCGCGGTAGTTACCGACGTACGCGACGGCATGTTCGGGTTCGATCCCGACGAGATCGTCGATCAGATTCAGTATCGCCTCTCCGTGACTGTCGCCGAGGCTGTAGGGAACCTTCGTCGGGCTGCCTTCGACATCATCCTGACGACGTCTCTCGTGACGCTCCGGTGTTGAGGCAGCCTGCGACGCGGACATTGTGTATACCAGCGACTAGCTTACACCAAACGGGGCACAGAAATGTCTTCGTGTGTTGGAGATATCGCTGATTCCTGACGTTTCGTGACGTTACCTGGCGCTCGGCAGAATCACTGCTCGATCCTTTTGTTATCATTTTCCCCGGTGACCTAGCTACCGGGCGTTAAATTTTTAATAAGCTACTGCGCTTTTCACGGAAGATTCCATCGACCTATTAATCAATCAGTCAATGGAGGTAGCCTTCATTGATCACAAACCAATACATCAGAACCGATTGAAAACAATTCCAAAGACTGTTTATTTGTATATTCAGAGTGAACCGTAGCAACCCCCCACTCCAAGAGACAGCACACTGGTGGTACTAAGGGCATCTCGACGGCTTGTGTTTGGATAAAAACGCAAATATAAACACACTTATCAGCCTGTAAAGCCGTAATGTAAGATTTAGTGACTTGAAGCAATGATAGAATTATCCACAGCGGAAAGGGGTTTCCCAGTGTGTCTTTGTGTGCACAATAAAGACGAAGTACTAGTACTTGAGCGACTCCACGCTACGTCACACATGCTTCTACAGGTTTTACAACGACTAGTACCGTTTCAGGAGGATTTACAACCAACTATGGAGCTACTGTATACGAGCTCGAGTGTGTGCGATTATATCTTCCTTTGTGATATGGACCACAGTTTGAAGTGAACATAGTAGAGCTCCATTACATTGTACATCCTTGCATGAGCTCATGTTACCATATTGGTGAAAATAGGTTACGAAGCCATAGTGTCTCAGGAAGCGAGGAAGATGCTTTGTGTTTATGCTTTGTATCCTAATTCCTCCATTTCCTCGCGAGTCCCGGACTCAATACGTCTACTCAATACGTTGTGCGTGTGTCTGATGCTCGACAAGACTGTAGATTGTCACGAATCCGCTAGGGGACAGTATTAACAAGTTACGTGTTTTACGTGAGGCTGAAGTAACCACCCGAGTCTTCCCTGTGATGATACAAATGTCCTTGTCATCAAATGTTACCTTTTAGCTATCATTAGCTGATTTGTACCTCAATGAAGAAGAAAATTTGGTATGTATGTAGTTGGCACAGACCCCGAGGTCTAACTCAAGGGACCAGGGGACTGGTAGAAATTTCCTTGCTGGCATATTGGCATTGGATCCGAGGAGCTGGGCTGTGTACGTAGGTCCTTCACCTTGGCCCTTGACATAGTCTGGCATCCAGGCTACGGAGAGGCTCGCACCTAACACGGCAGGATTCAAGGCTAGCAAATCTCCACCTCTTCAAATACCTTAGATTTCATACTACATAGCAACTTTCACGAGAGCATTAATTACAACGAACAGTGCCCGGTACTAAGGGCAGTAAACAGGCACAAAGAAGGGTAATAAGTCAATAAATCAATAAGCAATCATTGGTAATAAATCAATGACCAACAGTGATCGCGACCTCGACCTCTGTGACAAGCGCCCAGCCTGGCTAACGTCTGGAGCCATCTGGTACAAATAACAGCTGGCAGTCGACGGCTAACATTGGTGATAGAAGGGCGTTCCCGGTGACAAGAACAACTATATGTTAAGTCTCCAAGCAGATTTCTTCAGGAGATTTAATGAATAGTGATCATCATGAAAGTTGTGAAAGTTACATGTTTTAAGGCAAAAGTTACATGTTTTAAGGCAAAACTTTTGTTCCAATACAAAAGGTAAATGTTCTCACACCCAGTTACTCCGTCATAAACTACTGAGGAAGATCAGTAGACTGACCCAGTGAGAACAGTGATAATATTTTCCTTCCTCTGTAGTAGTGACACAACGGCCGCAAAACCACACGAGTGTTTGTATTGGGCCACTGTGGTCTGCCCTGCCACACAAGGTCTCGCTTAGTTCCGCCTTGGGGAAGAATAAAAGCCTGCTGTGTTGGTCCTTACAGGCGCATCAACAGTTGTCGTCATTTTTCACGGCAACGTCGACGTGCGGCAGCCTCGCCCGGCGTCCACACCGCGCTGTGCAAACATAACGGTCCAATCTCTCATGTTGACGGCTTTTATATTGACACTGTTACAATGTGTACACGGTGACAAACACACACTAAACGCCTCGAGAAGGAAGTTGAAAAGCTAACCCTGTCAGGAACAACCGAAGAGTTGTGATAGTTGATCGGATCCTTGTGTTCACGAGGACCGTCGGGTACTTCTGACCGACAGGGAAGTTTTACCGCCACACGACAGAGCAGAGCTGGAACATGGGGAATTGGTCAAGGAACCGCGTCATCCTCATCTCGGTCGTTGTCGGGGTGCTGGGGATTGCGGTCGGCGTGCTGATCGGCTACTTCTCGGCCCCGTCCGGCCCGTCCGGCACCGGAGAGTTCGCAGAGTTCCTCTCGGAGGGGGACGCGTGGGTCGCCGAGGCGCTGAGGGACGAGATCAACGCTGACAACATCAAGGAAAATCTACGGTAGGTTGTGTATCATGCTTACGAAATGTAACATACTGAAATAAAGGGAGGGGTGTAGAGCTAATTGCACTTAAAAGATAAAATAGATGAAATGTATGAAACTTTATGATTGATTTCTTGTCAGTGCATGTACGAGACGAGCAAGAACAAACTCTGTATAATTGGCTGGAAGCTGTTATCGAACGTAAAACTATAACGTGATATCGAAAATGATTCCAAAGCTATTAAAATGTTTCCTGCTACAGTATGCCTACGTAACACAATCTTTCACCATGGCCAAACCGTGTTGTTATCGACATGATCGTACATAGGTACACGTACGCACCGTGTAACAAAACAGGTCGCGCAGGTGTTGGCGTTTTTCCAAGAGTTCTCACCCCGTACGTGAGTCCCCAGCAAACTACAAAACTATATGTAGTTATACACATAGTTAGCACTATGCCTGCCGTACTTTATCTTGGGTGGTTATAAACAGGTAATAATCAATTCTGATATACGAATCATGCGTCTCACTTTGATGTAATCATCTCTGAGCAGAGTACTGGTATTTGGGCTTGTTTTCGGGTTACTTTGACGCTGTGTTGACGCTGTACATATCACTAATCAAACATGGGCGTTGCGTCCTGAATTACCGCAGACCAGCCAGGTCTTGTTCACGCTGAGAGCCAAATTTCACCACCCTCCCCCGTAACCTCGGATTGACCTAACCTCACGGCCAACACCCAGGCTACTGTCAGACTACAGGCTCCAGTCTCCATGGGGAGGCTACATACGTTTTACTAGCTGTCCTTTTCTGTACCCTTGAAGAGCCAGTTTTACAAAGATAGGGCAGCTAGGAAAACGTAACGAGTTAGTCACCCTATATCTGCTTGGGGGCGAGATTACGTCATCCCGACAACTTCGCGTACTCAAGCCGGGCAATGTCAAAGACCAAGTCTGTCTCTCCTTAACCAAATAACTGTCACTTGACAGGATAGAAAAATAGCAGAGGTGCAACACGAAGACATGCAGCATGGCTATCGTCATGATAAACCAGATTTTATTTCGATATCAGAAGTAAAAGACAAGGAACTGCCATAGCTTTACACAACTTCTACAAAACATTTAATACACCTTTACGCACGGAGGTAACAAGACCAAAATGATATGTTTCAGAAGGCCATCCAGTCTTGATGATTTTCCTGTACTGTCACTGTCAGTATGTGCATCGTGTATTGAACCTTCTCACTGAAAAGGCTCCATTTTAGTTATTTATTGATCCATTGGTGCTGTGGTGTAGTGGCTTTCGCTTTCAAACAACAAGCACTAGAGGACTGTATTTACATTTGAAAAAATGATGTAAATGAATAAATATTTTTCATCTCTGTCCGAAGCCTTCCATGGTCGCTATCATTAACCAACTATACACATGAATGAATTCTGTACGTTCTTTGATACTTTGATACTGGTGGGCTGTATCAATCCATATCCATAACCATACGTCACTCCTAGATACCTGACGTCAAAACCACATCTAGCAGGCACACCCGAGAGCAAGGAGCACGCTGATTGGGTGGTGCAGAAATGGCGGGAACAGGGCTTGGACGACGCTTACCTCACGAACTACAACATCCTGCTGTCCTATCCGGACAGGGACAGTCCCCAGCTACATAGCTCTGCTAGATGTGTAAGTACAGCTGCGTACCTCTGCTAGATGTGTAAGTACAGCTGCGTACTTCTGCTAGATGTGTAAGTAAAGCTACATACATCTGCTAGATGGCCTAGATGTGTAAAATCAGCAAAATCAGCTACATACAAGGCTCTGCTATCTGAATCTGTAGTACAATAGTTACATACTGCAAATCTCTGATAGATCAATATGCGTAGGCGCAGGCTGAGAAGTCCATGAAGCTACATATCTCTGCTGACTGCGCAAATTCAGCAAAATGTCATGACCTCATGACCACCTGTTGCCACAGAAACGGCATCGAGCAGTTCCGGACGGCCGTGTTTGAGGAGGCGGTAGACGCGGAGACGGAGCAGTGGCTGTCCTCCATCGTGCAGCCGTTCAACGCCTACTCCGCGCCGGGAACTGTGCAGGTGGGTACCGGTCCTCGGTTTAGTAAGTCCTTTGTTTAATGAGTCAATTGGAGTCACTTGTGATAGTTAACTTCCTTTATGAATTTACTCTGTGGATTATACGGATACAGATGCGATGATGGTATGGCATGTAGCCTATGCTTGTCGTGGTACAACCTGGCATAGGAAGTGCACGCGTCGGATGCACGGTGTGTCGTACCACTGGTGCTGCCGCTCCCTGGTGACGCTGCTGAAGATGGGGCTGTAAACTACGCAATCTTCGATGTCGTACTCGTTGTCCGGCTCTCCCGGAGCCCACATGTTGTAGTCACCGAGCGCGGTGCCGTCGAGCCACTCGAAGCTTCCTTCTCCGCGCTGATCGTGCAGACCGATCCAGAAGGAGGAGCCGTTGTTGACGGAGTTGCACAAGGAGATGAGGAAGGCGTTAGTGCCGGCGTCTCGGGGCATGGCGAGGGTGCCGCCGTTTTTTGCGACAGATCAGAGCCGATTGCCAGAAGTTCTTTTTCACGCTGAACGCCTTGTAGCAGATTCCGTGCCACTTGACATATTCTTCGGGACAACCTACATCTATGCCCATCTCCGTCCTATTTTCATGACGTATTCGCCACTTGCTTGTATCTTCGGGGAAAGATAATTTGTTAAGACGCTGTTCCAAGACGTTAGACAGGTTCTGCTGACTGTTCAGATTGAGTTTTAAGGCGTCGACAGCGACGGTCAGCTGCGATATTTCCTCCTTATTGATGAACATCGCCACGGCGAGCACCACGGCGACCAGGGTGACTACCACAGCGGAGGCGACGCCCACGCGGCTGCGGTTTGAGCGGTGGAAGCTACAGAGAGCACGGCGGCGCCCGCTTGCTCTACCCGGAAATGCTTGATCTGCGGACGTGTCGGCATGAAGGCTGATGGCGTTATCCCTTGCTTGGTGTGACTTCGCCTCCTCCTCCTTCCCCTGGAGTGACGTCGACTGCTCCGCCTGGAGTAAAGTTGTCTGGTCCGCTTGGAGTGACTCCCCCTCCTGCTTAGTTCGCTGCCGCTGAAAACGAGCCCTTTGCCCGGGCTCCTGAATCTGTAGTACTACCGCCTCGGCTGTTTCGTATACGTCTGAAGACGTTCCTTGGTCTTCCTGCCACCTGCCTGGAGCGCTGCTTCCATGGCGAGCACGCCCACATGAACCGCCACGATGGACAGGAGGGGGTCGGGATGGCGGCCGGCCGGTTTGGCCGCTGCCGGGGCCAGAGAGAGGGGGGAGAGGGGTCCAGACAGGCTGCGCTTGCTCATACATTTGTTCTGTAGACTGTACTAACAGAGAAAGACAGTGCAGTTTATGACAGTAAAATATATGAATATTGCCTAGTATATCATGATTAGTCTGAAGAAACAAGCGCCCCTTCCCTTATATGGAAGAACAGGACGTGGTTTCTTTTTTCTAGACGTCACAGACTAATTTTCGTGGAAACAGCCTTGCCTTGGAGCTATTGACGTCACCCTTAAACTAGTTGTTGAGATCTACTGCAGCTGATTGAAATATTGATTTTTCGAATCTTTGCAGACACTTGCAATCTAAAGGTTCAGGGTTCGACTCTCTAGCAAAACCCAAAGATGTGCCCTTCGGGGAAAGACATTTTACTCCTACTATTTGTCAGTGCTCAATAGACTCAGATGAACATGAGTACCAAGCTTCGGTTGGAAACGTCCTTTGAGTGGGATGTAGTTATAAAGCCGGGGGTCCTGTGCTTGAGGAGAGCCACAGCTCAAGCACGTGAAAGGACAACGATACAAATGTCCATCCACACAACTGCTTGGATACCAAACAAAAATCTTGGATAAAAAAATTAAAATCGAAGACACAGTTTGCACCACTATAGAAACTACAATGAAGCTACAAACGTAAACGCCCTTATTTTCGCTAAACACATTCCAGGGAGACGTGGTGTACGTGAACTACGCACGCGTGGAAGACTTCGAGCGGCTGAGGGACGAGCTGAACGTTGACGTCACAGGGAAGGTCGCCATCGCGCGCTACGGGAAGATATTCCGGGGTGAAAAGGTAGGGGGCGCTTCTTATCCGGTATCGCACAGACAACAGGTATCGGCTTCACGAGAATGACTACATTTCATTTCATTTCTTCTGGACAAATTTTTGTTGAGTCATGCACATGATAAGAGGTATAAGGTAAATATACTTGGCACAATGTAGCTTGCTCAACAGATATCTTGCTCAATCAGACGTGCAGCCCAAAGACCCCGAGAGATAGCAATTCAAGAACTTAAGTAAGAACTTACTCTGGTCTAGATTCTAAATACCTATTATATCAGGTGCCCAATGTGATACAACAAGGATTTATATTGGTATTTTGCGCCGAAGAACTTATCCTGATACTGGATAACCAATAATTAATATAACAGAACGAATGTGACGTTACATGTATACGCAGAAGTACTGATATTTGCCCTCCAGGCTAAATACGCGCAGCAGTTCGGTGTCGCCGGGCTGATCCTGTTCACGGACCCGGAGGACACGGTGGGGCCCGACGGGGAGAGAGACCTGTACCCGCGCGGCTGGTACCTGCCGGGCACGGGCGTGCAGAGAGGAAACATCCTCAACAGCGCAGGGGCGGGCGAGCCGCTCACACCCGGGTACCCCGCCAAGGGTAGGGCGGCTCTCACGGCCATCTAAGATTTGCGACATTTTTGTAAAACTTTTGACAGAAGTTTTCTTTACAACTTTGCATTATTAAACTATGCTTTTTCTAAGTTTTCCAAAATAAAAGACTGTCGTTTATAAGAAGTTTAAGTTGTACTATGTCCTCTGCAGACTACATGTTCCGGATAAGAGAGAACGAGACGGACGCCCTTGCGAGGATTCCCGTACATCCCATCGGCTACAGCGACGCCTGGCACATCCTCAAGTACTGCAGTTTTTTTAAACACATACAACTGACTGCTCTGCGGTCTTGTACAAAAATAATATGAAAAATTGTGAAGAAATTATATAATCGGCATATAACAAACATACACACAAAGATAATTCTTAAAATGGTACTTCACTTCCAGGGGGTTAGGTAATAACAACGAAATAGAAATGTTAAAATCATTGTTATCCTTTACTTTTCAGTGCGATCGGCGGCCCGGACGCCCCGGAAGAGTGGCAGGGAGGACTCAACATCACCTACCGGCTGGGGCCTGGCTTCAACTCGGCAACCTGGGCCCGGTACGGACAGACATATGGATTCCAAGTTATAAAATGATCTGAATATATAGGTTCATGATTTACAGCATTAAACTGTTACACACGACTAAAAGTTCAGCTCGTAGAAAGCCTCTAAATGAC